TGTTCTCTCTCCTTACCTTCTCCCTCTTCCTTCGCTCAGACTCGTTCTCACCTGAAGCTCCCGCAGTGGACTGATATGCCTGGCTTCCCCTCACGGAGTCTCCGAACAAGTACTGATACAACCTCTCTTTGTCCTGCAACACGTGTTCCAAGTTGGGATCATGGAGGCTATTCGCTTCGGTCAAGGGGTCCGGTGCCATGAAGCAAGAAGCGAGCATCTCTTCTCTGAACAAATACTTTTCCATGACAGCGTGGACCAAAGAGGTTCCAGACTTCATAGAGTAGGGGTGACCGCCTCCGGCGACCGAAATGGCTCGCCAGAATCTGTCCGACGTCGTGGACATCATGCCATTCAGCGACAGCTCGTCCTTGATCATGTTGGCGATCTTGCCGAACGAACCGACGGCATGGTGAAACTCCACGTCTGCGCATACCCTCACAAATGTAGGTAGCTGGCAGCATGTGTCAAGCTTGACGATCGCGTCCCTAAGTCTTGGAACGAAGTCCGTGGGAACAATCACTGTCTTGTATGTCCCCTTCTCGCCCGCAGTCACTAGGTGGCTCAATGACAACCACACATGGATGGAGGTGGGTTCATGGCGTTTGACATCATCAATTCGATCATGAATGAAGTCGATGAAGCCATATGGATCCGTCACCACTCCCCTCTTGTACTCAGGCGTACATGACATGTTGATGACCTTATCCCATCCAAGTGACAATAAGCTCTGGGCGAACACTGTCTGTTTCCCGGAGTTCGACTTGGTTATGTACCCAAAGTCCGACATCAGAATCACCTTACTGGTCTTCATGGCGCCGATGAACTCACAGTGCACACTCCCACCATCGATGGTGCGAGACGCTGGCTGGCACGTGACACTTGGGATGAAGCCCTTCAATGTTTCACGCATCCTTAGCTCCAATTCCGCTTCGTCACTCACCTTGGCTTCCATTGGGTAACAAAGGTTGTATAGCGTCCTCGGAGATGGTAGCCCTCCAGCAAGTGACACTTGTGTTGAGTCGTAGATGTTGGTATATTGGGCGAACCAATGGGCGTCTTCTTTGTGGTAGTTCCGGTCGATCACCGTCTCTTGGTACCCCCCATGCCAGAACATCAAATACGACGTCAACCTTCGTAAGTACTGCAGCCATGTCATCTGTCCGTTAACGGTACAGGGACCTTCTACGGTGTGCCCGGATGGCACCTGATTGGCGCTGACCATTGCGTAGACCTTCATGTCTCGCGAGAAATAGTCTTTCCCGAACACGTAGTGCTTATCTGATCCCATCGGAAACGGCATCCTAAACCACGTGGTGACTGAGATGTCCCTTGATGTCGCACCAGCGGATGTTGATCCACCTGTTCTTCCCCACCGCTTATAGGATGTCGACCCATACCCAGTTGAACTATCGGAAGGGCGTTCCGAAAAGTTCTGCTGTTCAAATGACGGTGGCGGCGGAGGAGGTCTTGGTGCGCGAGGCATTGGCTTGGCCGTCGGCCTTGTGAAGTCACCATATATCTGAAGCGGCGGGCACCACTTTGGCCTATGAGCAACGTCAGGAGGCTCAGGACCTTCGCTATCCTGCATGTTCCAAAACGGCAACGAGGGGATGATTTTGTCCTCGATTTTCTTCTTCAACTCCTCGATGTAGTCGGTGTAGGATTTGAAGGCGCTGCCCCGTCGGTTGTACTCATCTTGCCTCCCGCTCTCCGCTGCAGCTGCGTTGTACTGAACTCGAAACATCGTGGGTTCAACCGGGATCCACTCATTGATCATCGGCATGATTTTCTCCCTCATGAATCTGAGTTCTTCTGGTATTATCATGGCTACCGCAGGCTTGCAGTTGTCGAGGTACTTCACCGTAACACTCATGGAGCCTAAAAAGGTCTCCATATGGTTCTGAGCCGCCGACCTGTACTTCGGCAACCCTCTCCTCCTGGCAACCAGGTCCTCGAGCACATCAATCACATGGATCTTGTCCAATGTGCTGTCCAAGTTGTGGACCCTTATTGCGAGTGCCATGTTACGAACTTCTCTGTTCACCGTATCTATCAGCTCTTTCACCTTCTCCTTTGCGTTTCGATTGGTGAGCTTGTCAGAGGTGTGGTAGAAGATCGAGCTGAAGATTGTGTAGTAACTTTCTAGGCGGGTAGCATAGACATGATCTGACGGATCCGCGGCTTCACGCATGTTCATGCTCTCCTTGGCCGACCCGGACAGGTTCCTCCATTGTTGGTAGGCAACCATAGTGTCATTGAATCTGCCGTTGTTGATGAAGTCGCGGACGTCGTCCCATAAGTCATCGATCGCCCCAATCTCCTCAGGCTCCACGAGGTAGCGAGAGAGGTTACTGAAAACCCCATTCGCATCGTTCCCGAAGCGCCCCTTGATGGTGGCCATGGATAGCTTATAGCGTCTTACTAAGTCGCCTGTAATCTCTTTCTTCTCGTCCTCGTTCATGTAGCCTACTAACTTCTTCAGTGAAGCGGTCAAGAATTTGGTGTCGTCGGATTTCGTCCTGGACATCGCATAGTTGATGGATATCGGGACGAGCGGAGGAATGCCGACGGCAATCCATGCTTCAACCACATCCAACCCATGCGTACTCCTTGACATCCTTGGAGGCAGGGCGATCTGCCCTCTCTCCTTCATCTCAACCAGGCCATCGAGGATCTTGATGATGAAAGTCGGGTAGCCGCCCGTGTTGCTGTTATAGTTCATGACACCACCAACAGACTCCATAGCCACGTCGCTAAAGCGTACGGGTGAAGCAATGCTGTGGTCACACGAACAAACATAACAAGCCTGACAATCATGGATGTCATGTGGTTCGATCCGTCGTGCGTGTGATGTTTGTGTCCCTTGCTCATAACGTGTGTACACAGTCTTGTTTAATGTTGCATCACACACAGAACGCTCATTGAAGGAACTACCCAAGGCTCGAATCATAAGGCACGGAACGGCATGCATCATCTTCTCAGACTTCTGAAGTGCAGCGATTCTTTTGGTCACGGTCTTCAGGATGATGCCGACTATCTTCTTATTATACAATTGAGTAGTCTTAGTGTACTTACCTGCGCAATCTCTATGATTATGGCTCTTGTCACATGTTCGGCTGAGTTGGTTACCAAACTCAAGATTCCATGATACAATCTTCCAAGGTTTCTTGATGAATTTCTTGTCGGAATGCGAATCGTTGAACTCAGCACCTAACCCATACATGCATCCATCAAACACATGACAGTCGCAATCAGTACCGTTCACTAAACTTTGAACCCTTTGATCTTTCCAATATGCACAATATCGTGGTAGTTCAAACAGTGCGGCGGCTCGGATCTTCAAAACACGAACCATAACAGTTTCAAAACGTTCCCAGAGGTCCCAGTATAGTGCTCGCTTAAGTTCAATAGATTTAGCTATCGCGTCGCTAACTTTAGCGTTGTATCTCGACCACGCCGATCCGCCAGTGCAGGGTCCTGCAAACATTACTGCATCCTTCTCCGAACGCACCGCTGCAAGCGCACGTGCAATTCCATACGGTGACGTGAGGTCGTCGCTCTGAGATACAGTGACGATGGTGCAGTCGTGCTTCGCCGCTAGGTGGGTGAAGTGATTGCATTCCTCTGAACACAGTAGGATGAATGCGGGTTCTTTACCTATATCGTACAGATCGATTACAATCTG